TATATATACAGAAAGTAAGTACTGTTTGAGCATAGCAACCGCACAGGTGGTGCCAGTGATAAATTCCTGCAAGCCATAAACCTTCGTCCAGTTCAAATGTATCAAGAGATTTGCCATGTTGATGGTAGAAAAGTAATACAAGAGTATGGTGAGAAAATGATGCAGAATGTTTACAGCAGGAAGAACCAGCTTGCACAATGATGAACGGAGTGGAAGCGCTTCGTTAATCAATCGGATTAGTCTAGAATCGATTAATTTTATGGAAGAAAACCTTTCAATCAGCCGTAGTCCATAAACTTCACACGTGTCGGGCTGTGATTGGAAGGACTCGTAAGAAATCGGATTCCTAAAGAATGGAACGTATCTATGATCTTATAGGGAGGTCGACTGAACTAGCCAACCGAAGATTTAATGCTTTGCAATTTAATAAAATGTTGGAACAATATTATACAGATTTTACAATTTTCTGTCATAAATAAATGCTTTAGGCTGTATTTATGATAATAAAATTGATTATTTGAATGCATTAGAACATTAATTTTATTTAATTTTTATTAACATTTTGCATATTTTTGGGGATGGTTGTTTCTTTCCGATCTTTAGACAATAAGAGAATTTATTAAAATTACTCATTTCAATACCAAAATGGGGAGACCAGATTTAAGTATTATTCTTATAAATACAATTAATTGTTGTTTGTTGGCTTAGCTAGAGTTAATTAGTAAAGAATCTGATAAAAGTATAGGGAGTGTATTTGAAAAATTATGAGATACAGACAGAAAAATAGTGAAGATTTAATCTAGAAGAGAGAAAATAGTAATCACAATTGTAATTTTTGAAGAGAGATACTACAACAGATGTGAAGAAAGGTGGTGTGCGTGTAAGTGCAATAGAGTGTGTTGGAAGATATTGTAATGGCCTGAAGAAAAAGACATGAAATGGCTGATTTGCTCTATTGATTATTTTATTGTTTCTCTTGTTCTTGAAAAAAATTTCTGTATTCAACATTATGTTGCCAACAATTTATAGTTTTAGTATTTATTGAAAGATTAAAAATTATTTTTTGATAATTAACAAAAGTTAGTAGCCTACTTCTAATGAATGATTTTTGTTCCCACCCTTTTCTTTTTTTTACTACTAATCTCCGTGGGATAGCACTCTAACATGAAGTTCACCAGTGTTATAAATAGCTTTTCATGTGCCCAGTACAAGACTGTTTTTTGGCTTTCTTTTTTCCAGAAAAAAAGATGTTTCCTAAAAGGCCCAAAAAGTAAAAATTAGAGTTCTAAATCCGGATTGTACCTTTGCTACACTATAATGCAATGTTCCATATTGCACATCAGACTTCAGACGAGCTAAAAAGTATGGATGGAAAGTAATGGAACGTTCCTTTAAATGTTCCTTAATGACCTTGTTAAAAAGGGCCTTTTTAGTTGTATTAAGAAGGCCCCTTTTAGCAAAGACTAATGGTAGAGGATGGGACCCGACATTATCCGAACAAACTGCCCATGAAAGTTGCTTCCTCAAAGTCCCCCAAAACTGTAGGATATTGCCTTAACACTCTCCCGGCACCAGTTTTTCGAGTGGATAAAACCACCGAAATTAGGGTTCACGCCTGATCAACGGGCTGGAACGTGGAGTCTTCCGGATTTTCTTCGTGTTTGTAACACTTAAATAGGGGCCACTCGGCAGATGTGCAAATGAACCAAACCAAATCTTAACCTTCTAACAAGAAGCTAATAAATTTGCTACAGAATTAATATAATTCCATATAAATTTATATAGCATAATTTATTTTATACATAATTATGTATTAATTAAATCACAATTTTCATAATCTGTAATTACCGTAATACAATCGATCATTTTCACACAAAACTAAATACGTAGGGGGCAAGTAAATGATTTTTCTATTAGTTCATTTACTCTTTCTCTAAATGAATTCTGCTGATTAGCTTGAAGATTAATCACATCTGCTACTTTAATCAGATACGTAACGGCATCGTTACATTTACGTTTGTCACATCGAATGGTATAATAGAAACAGTTATACAACAATATTGAGTTGCTGTACCAAGGGAAATCAATGTATTTGGCTACACATTCCACGAGTTTCGTGAGATTCAGATTTTTGTTTTCATCCCAAAGTTCTTGTAATATCTTCTCTTTGCTGCATTTATTGCAATGAAGATTGCCCATAACATCGTCTCTGTTAATACAGAACAATGATTGGTCGTCCTGAAATAAACAAAGAAAATTCAATTCTTTTCTTTAATTTCGGGATAAATTTTATCAAAATATCATAAAGCTATTCATTAGGCATTATATAGTAGTTTATGGTGAGGTTTGGGACGTTCTTATATAAGGAATTAACAGTAATTAAATGTAATTTATTGTAACATCGTCACAATGTTCTCAATTTTAGTAGTGTCATGCCTTTGACAGGAAAAAGAAAGTATGACTTACAGGGGGAAAAACACTACTAAACTTAAGTGCATTGTGACGACCTCACAATAAATAATTGCTTGTTAAATTCGCATCTAACCGCGCGACTTTGATTCAGAGGCAAGTGTCTTCTCTGTCTCTCCCTGTAGTTAAGCCCCTGATACTAAATTTAAGCGTAACTCTCGATTCAACCTTGAAATCTAGATAGAACCCGGTTCTATCTACACGAAATATTTAACTAGTTAAAGTGAGGATGAGAGAGATTCTTTCTCATGGACAATATGGCTCTTGTGACAAAGTTTGGACAACCCTGTTATACAATACAATATAATATAATAATATATATATTCAGGAAATCTGCTGGCCAGGTAGTTAAGGCCTCAGCCTACCTCACTGGGAAACAGGAATCGAATCTGGACGAGCAACTCTCTATAAATTTTACATGGATGGTCCATCAGAACATATCGCCGCCACCATTTTGGGTCTGGCCGAACCCACGAACGGCATAGGAAAATGTGGGCCTGATCAACGGGCTAGCCACGTGTAATATGCTATGTTTTCTTATGGCTGATGCTATTTTTCCATATAAATTCCTTCTGGTAGGCCTCCCCCATAACAATGTTGCATTGCCAAATAAATCCCTTTGTTTACATTATACATATTTATCCTAATTAACAATTAATTAAAATATATTCAGGATTTATTAATCGCATTTAATAATAATAAAAGCCTTACACTGTCGTCTTCAGGTGTATTAATATCAAAAATATTATTAATTATAGTCCATGGTAATTGGAATAAATCTTTAAAACTATTCAAAGTCACAGGCTCAGGACTTTCACTATCCTTAATAAAAGAAATTCCTACAAAAAAAATAATAAGTTTTTCCTTATTTTAATTTAAAATAATTCTAGAAAATGTTCAAGAATTATAGAAAAGGTTAATTACCAATTATTACAATGCCAAAAATTAAATTCTTCATCCCTTTACTTTGTATGTTACCGGTGGACTTGTTAATCAGGTAATAAATTGTTACCTCGCAAGTAATTATAAATGCGTAAATTCGTCACACCTGTTTTCATTTTGAAATATAAAAACAGGTGTTTAGATGGAGAAGGAATTTTCTGGCAATTATTTAAAACTATTTCAACTAAAATTTGAAAAAAATACACCCTTTAAACCTGTATATTCGGATAAATACAGTCAAACCAGTCGAAATACAGTCGAACCTTTAAACAACGGCCACTGACTAGAACATAAAAACCGGTTGCCATTTGGAGGTTATTTGTGTTTAAAAAATTCCTGGAATAAAAATGGCCGCTGTTTAGAAGTAGAAGCTGTTGAAAATGGGCGTTATCGGAGATTTGACTGTAATTATTTATTGCGACATCGTCACAATGCCGGGTTGCAATTTTCAATTTATTTAATTTAAAATGTATGCTCTCTATCTGAAATTAGTAGTAAAAGGGTAGAAACCTCTACAGAGCCACAAGATTTCTTCGGGCTTGGGAAAAAAATCCCCAGCTTCCGTCTCACAACTGGCAACTGTGACTAGAATCGTCTAGGGAAGAAAAAAGTGTGCCATTAAACAGGGTGATAATCATATCCCGTGTAGCATTTAAACACTTGTTTTGAGAAAGTAGCCAATTTCACAGAATCCTAATCGAAATGGCTTTTTACGCTTGATACTCTCTTTAGTTTGAAGTGAGGATCGATTACCTTCATTCCTCGATTGTCTCACTTCGATGCAACGATCTTTTTAATCTCATCAAAGTCATTGCAAAGATTCTCCGTGTCCAGTGAGTTTTTAAGTAGGGCTGCTGCTTTGTTAATTTCTTGCTTGGGAGATTGCAACGTGTTTGATATCAGGATCAATAAAAGAATTTTGGTGGCCGAATGGATAAAATCTCTAAACACTGGTCGTGGGTTCGATCCTCACCAACGGAATGACCATGAGGATTTTCCGGCTTTTCACCGCGTTTCCAGCATCTAAACAGGGATCAATTTTCTACAAAAGTCTCCTCTCGGAAGGCAGATTACCCATGTATTGCGTTACCGTGTTCCATGGCATCACACCTGGCTGAATTCATGATTGATATGACTAAAAAGACTTACAACGAGAAGTTGCAGTTTTAATTTAGGTCTGTGTAGGCTATTCTTTTTATGTAATGAAGTAATGTCTGAAGCATACGAGCAAGACATTTGTTTTTATAGCTCTTTTCGCCACGTGGACACTAAAAGGACCTCTTTAGCAAGCCCATTACCACTCGACCATCTGGCCTTCGATAAGACAAGTGTTTATACATAGTTACTAATTGTTCACCTTTAAAAATATTTTTTTAAAAATAACTAATAATTAAATTTCGTTTTAAAAATTTTTATTCAATTTTAAATTACAATTTTATATTATTATAAAAATAATAACATGTGCTTCAAAGATTTCATATATATATATAGCCAATGAAACTGTCGGTTAGTAATACGTAATATATTTAAAGAATGTACTGTATTATAAAACTGTTAAAATATAAAATTACTTAGTGTTTTGTATTTGAACAGCGAACAGCCAAGGTCTGTTTGAACAGTATTTTCAGGAAAATGAAGTTTTATGTGTTGAATTTTTTAGCTGTTCTTCTTGTTTCAGGTATGTTCTATTATATTATTGAATTTTATAAATTAATTCTTGATTTTCCTGAGTTTTTAATTACGTACGCAAGTGCTGCTGAGTTATTTTTTAAGTTTTTTTAAAAGGTAAATGTGTGGACTAATGAAGCATGATGTATGGAAATGTATTTAAGCATTTATAATTTGACAAAATATGGTAAATTATAATGGAAACAGAAAAAACAAACAAACAAAATTTGCTATAATTTACTTTATTTAATTAATTTTAGTTGTTACTAAATATAAAATCAATAAGAAAATTTGAAATTTATATTATTATAAAATATGGTACGTAAATTATTATTTATTGTTTTATATTTTAAGGATTTCCACGTCAGATCGGAGGAGCGGAATTTGGAAAATTGGTATGATTTAATGAATTAAAATATGGGTTAGATTGATGGGATATGGCAACGCAATACGTGCGATCTACTAAGGTGGGGTGCCTCTCAGGAGGAGGGGACTAGCCTCTATTTCGGTAATTGTTCGTGGAGTGTGGCAAACTAACATGTGGGCGATATGCCAAGGAGGATGACTCTAGGGAAGACTTTCTATGGAAACTTTCCTAGTTAAGTGTGACGAAAACCCCACAGCTTATCGGTGGGGCTCGAAGCTACGACCACTAGCAGAGTTTAATGGCTTTATCCATTCTAAATATACAATTTAAATATACAATTATTGAATAGGTTTAAATAATTTTACTCCTTTTTAACGAGACTTTTACTTTAGGAAATAAACGATAATGAGGAAGTAACAGAGACAAATAGTAATGAAGTGACTACAGATTATACAGAAACAAATATTATACCCGAAAGAACCACTGAAAGTGGAACAACTGAAGTAGAATATGGATTCACTACCGTAGAAGATAGAGAAACAGAAACAGAACAAACAGAATTTGAAAATGGGGGAACGACTACAGAACCCGAAAGTACTATAACAGAATCTTTTAGTACTTCAACAGTAATTATCGACTCTACAACTGCTACTCAAGATAGTAGCACGGATGGTAGAGAACGTGAAGAAAGTACCACCATCGTAATCGATACGTCTACTTCTAGAGACGATGAATACGATGAAGCAACCGAATTCAACGAAATGATTAAAAAATTTGTATCTTCAATGATGAAAATGATGGTAAGTATTTATATAAACTACTAGAAGATATACGGTAGTAAGGGTAAACATTAAAAGTTTGGTTATTTATCCTACCATTGTTATCTTTAACACGTAGCGTCAAGGAGAATTAAGGGAGGAATGAGGTATCCATACTTCATACTAGCCTAAATTTTCCGCATAGTAAGACAGTAAGTCTAAGAAATTTAGCTCATGTGGGTCAAGATGTTTAGTAGTTCATAGGGGATGGAATCAAAGGTGAGGTGGGTTACAGGTTTAATGGTAGCCTAAATCTTCCTCTGGGTCTCCTAGAGCGTAAGTTTGAAAATTTGGTGCAGAGGAGTCAAAGAGTTTAGGAGTGTGTAGAGAACAAACAAACAAACATTCATTTTATATATTATAGATTATTTTTAATCTATTAATTTTTATATTTATGACTTGTTGTGTAATCTTATTTTTATTTCCTTCTAATTAATAAAGAAAAAACTATTTGAAAATATCTGGCAGAATTGAAATTCGACTTCAATTTACGTAATTTTTCTTTGTAAGTTCAATTATATTCTTGTAATATTATTTAATTTAAATAAAATCAAATATTAAAATATAAACATTTATTTTATTTTCAGAAGAAATTCTGCTTTAATTAACCAACCTATCCTGAGAATTGACATTTAGAAAAATCTTCAACTCTACTAAAGAATGTTATTTAGAAAAATAATAGTAAAACACAATTAAAATTAAAATGTAATGCTTATAAAAATTAAAAAAATTGATTAATGTTTTTTCCTTAAATGCATCAAAGTCACACTTGCATAATTCTATTTTTTGCACAGATTTTAAGACTTTTAACACCTAAATAGAGGCCGTTTTCCGGGAGGAATCGCCATTTTGCATGCCAAGATGGATGCCAAAATTAGCCTTTATCACACAACCCGTACTATACTGAATGTCAAGTAATAACAAGAACTATATACATATATAAAATACTAATCATCATTTTTTTTATTATATATATAAATATTTATTTATTTATTCTTTCCTCCCTGTGGGCACTAGGAGAGCCTCATATAGCAGGCCCATTATGGGTTCGGCCAGGCCATAATGGGGCGACCGGGTGGTGAGGGACGGGGCCCGACATATCCGAACGGACCAACCCCCGAAAAATTCCTGGGTATTCTTGATCCGTCCGGATTCTATTCCGGGTCCCCTAGAGCGGTAGGCTGCCACCTTGACCGTTCGGCCATCCAGCCGTCAATACTAATTATCTATTATCATAGAGATACATATGGAAAATATTACCAATAAAATAATTTATTAAAATTAGTTTCTATAAAATTAATAGTCAAGAATTAAATATATAAACATATTTAATGCTAGATGATATTAATCTTCATTTTCTTACTAAAATAAATTAAGAAATAAATATTAATTTTTAACAAGTGTAAATGTTGAGAGGTGGCGCTGTTAGAGTAGGCCATGTTTGAATCCACGTGTTGCAGATGAATTATCAATTTATAGATAAACTAAATTAATTTATAGAAATGACTGACTATAAAGAAGAACAAAAAAATGAAATAGAAGCCCTTGAATCAATATATCCCAACGAATTAGAAAGTACGTATTGAATTACTCTTTGTTTTGTCGATTATTTACTTTCTTTTATCAAAGTACAAAGTTAAATTAAACTAATGTCATCAAGGATAACGTGATATATGGAAGATTTTGGATTTAAAATTATTTAAATTGGAACATATACGATATGTTTTGTAGCTATGAGAAGTAAAGTCTGTATGAGCTGTAACATCGATTGAATATTTGACGCATTATATGTGTAAAAATACACATTTACAGAATCGATAATTAGGCTCAATTCAAGCTCTGAATGATACGTTTGGGACTTTAACAGCTGTAGATCATGCCTATAGGAGTAAAAAGTTAAAGGATCCGATGGTCTACATGTAACACTTTGCCCTGAAATCAGCCTATCTGGAATTTTAAAAACCCTCAAAAATGGAGTAAAATTTAAAAGTGAAAAAGTCTGGAACTATTTCTGTAAACAATAGTAAAAATAAACTGTTTTCCACTTTAGTAAAAACAGCTAAAAACTCATAAAACGTAAAAAACACCATTGCACTGATTATTTCTGTGGTGCAGTCGGAGTTGTATTGCATGGTCCGTTAAACCTTTTACGTGTTTAACAACGGCCTGGCTGATTTTGGGGAGCTACTGTATATCTGAGGAATGGTAAAATGTACACCATTGGTTACATGGTCTACAGCTGTCTAATTCAGAGCTGCACTTGTATTATAAATTATACACTATAACCCTGATTATCCAAGGTTAATATGGATCAGTGCTACCTCAGATAACTGAAAACTTAAATAAAATGGATGGTTGGCCATTTTAGATTAAAAATTACAAATATAAAATGTTTATATGATCAAAGTTATTACCTCACAAGAACTAGACATGGCACTAAAAGCTGAAAGATTGTTTAGTGTCTATATTTGTATTTATATGGTCTATTTCTTTTAAATCTTTTTTACACCATATTGAATTTAATAATATATAAGAACAACATTTTTCCATCATTTATTGTACAGCTAATATGTATAACAGTTTTAAGAATAGAAATGTGTATTATTATTATTGTCACATTTTAATATAAATGGTTTGTCTCACATTGAAGTTAAATGATAAAAGGTAACAGAAACAAATAATTTTGTAATATATGTTATTTTAAACTTTCTTCTGTTAAATACAGTGTAATTAAACTAATGTATTCACTTATGAATTTACTTTGGATGATGCGAAACGTTAATCGGGGCTCAAATAATTGGGTTCTACTATATATAAATGAGATAAAATGACAATTATTAGTTTATACTATTTAATTAAATTTATTCTGTTTAAGTGTCAGTTATCCAAATGTCATAAATACAATTATAAATAATTGAATAGAGATCTGGGAGTTGAGTGAGTTGCTCTGGTTTATATAAACAGTTCTGGTATTGAATTGTTTTAAAATAAAAACGAAAGGATAATAATACATAGTGGAATAGAAACTGCAGTGTGGTTGGATATCATAACACCTACAACAAATGTGCAGAAGGAAAGAATACTTTTTCCTTTCCAACAGGACCCATAGAAAGAAAAATGGATCCAGATAATTAAATGATGAAAATATAATTTGGTGAAATAATAATATAAAATATTTCTGTTAGCTAGAGAGGGGTTGTTGTTTTTATTTATTTTATATCAAAGAAAGGAATTCTGGCAGCAAGGAAATGGTGTAGAATTATGCAGCATACACTTTGTGATTCTCCTAATTACAATATTTTTTCTTCAGAGAAAATGCTTATCCCTACTAAAACTTTTTTTTTTTTTTGAAATATAGTGTAAAAACTTGATTTAAATTTTTGTAATGTTAAATATACTTACCATTGTTCTTACATTATATGGAGAGTTGTTTACATTTGTTTCTGGGAGCACATGGCCAATGATTATGCTATTTGTGTGAACTTCGTTGTTAATAACTTCTTGAGCATCAAAAATGTGCTCATTCTGATATAATTTCAATCCTTTTTCTTTCATTTTTATAAAATGCTTTTATTTAACTTGCTTTGTATAATACCCTCAAATCTAGCAACTCAAATTTTATTCACTTTTAATTAAGATTAGAAGGTTGAAACTTTGAGGACACCCAAGTCTAATAATGCATTTTAATGGTGTTTTAGGGATGGCCCCACCCACTCCATCCTTCCATCCCAAAACCTGATAAGCATAACCAAATGTAGAATTTAATCAAGATGTGTGTGTGTGTAAATGCACTGATGTATATACAGTAGTGATGTATATGGTGGCAGCTGCTTTACTCGTACTGTCTCTCTCTTCCTGTCTTGAAAAATACAGCAAATAAAAGCATTTTTTAAGATATATTAAAGTTATTTATTCGTAAATAGTTTAAATCAAGGCATCATTCCACATTCTTTGTTCATGCTTGACAGTTTCTTTTTATCTAGTTTCTTTCACTATTTTGAAAATTGAGTCAGGATATTCTGACTGATGTTTCATAAAACAAATCCAATCTATGTTCTTATAAAGGAATGTAAAAAGATTTTTTACATACTACTAAAATTTAAATATTGTTACCACATGTAAATAATAATAGAAAAATATAAATTCATTTTATAAAGCATTTCCTTTCCATAATTATTTTGAAATAATAATGACACTTAAAGAATGAAGAGTATATAAGTCATATTCAGATTACATTAAAGAATTATTATTATTTCAGTTATTCTTTTATGATAAAGAATTTAAAAATTGAATGCATTATAAACATTTCAATAGGATATTGAAAAAGATGTGATTAAAACTGATAAAAACATGAAAGGAATATAAATAAAAGTATAATGAGCAAAAAGTCCTATGGTATTATTAATATGTTTATCAGTGAATAAGTCTTGTATTTATAATTTATTTGAAATATTTTACTACTAAAGACTATACTGTATACAGAAATTTCTTTATGAGCATAATAGTTTAATCTAGTTAATAATTACATAATAATTTTGAATTAGCATCATTTAAACTTCTTACTATAGTAATTTCAATTAAATTTTCTTTATTTATAGTTTTATCGTGTGATCCTTATCACATTTTTACAATAAAAATCAAAACCGAAAGCTTGGAAGAATCTGAATTTGAAAGTAAGTAATATCTTAATTTTTTTATTATAAAATTTAATTATGATAATAAAATGAATTTAAGACGTTTATTTATAAAAATTTGTATATTATAATATAAAATATTTTAAAGTATTGTTGCAAAGTAACTTAAATGGGAGATATGCAAAATATCCACACAATATGACTGGTAGCAGTTAAGTACACAGAGATGTTGCCCTGGCTTACATGTTATGCTCGTTCAGCTAGAACAGAACTCTATTATGACTTACTGATAATATTTTAATAGCAATGTTAATAGGTAATAGACAAATAATGAAGTTATTGACTTGTACCAAGGGATTTACTTTTTGACAATATGAATAAAACATTGCATTTTATATCTTAAAATACATAAAGATCTATTCTTTGTGCAAACATAAGTACATTTTTGTTCTTATTTTTTATTTGTTATACTATGGTGTTAAACAGAATAACAGAAATTAAATAAGATAGAACTAACTATAAATTCATTTAAAAATTAAAAATACAAAACAATATATTCAACAAAACAGGGTAATACATAAAGATCTATTCTTTGTGCAAACATAAGTACATTTTTGTTCTTATTTTTTATTTGTTATACTATGGTGTTAAACAGAATAACAGAAATTAAATAAGATAGAACTAACTATAAATTCATTTAAAAATTAAAAATACAAAACAATATATTCAACAAAACAGGGTAATACATACAAAAACACTATATTTACAAAATATAATTAGCTTGATATTGGCTTGATTTTACTACAAATAGGTAGAAGTCTGTTGTTGTTGTTGTTGCTATAAGAGTTTTTGTATCTTTTACTTAATGATAATTAAAAAAACATTCAATAAACACTAAATCTGTTAGACCATTTTAATACACTGGTGTGAAAAACTTAAGCAACAATTGTTTTTTCGTCATAACTCCAAAAGAAATCAGCTGGGAGACATGGAATTCGGAATATAGAGAGAGTATTTTGTACTTAAAGGATGAAGAAAGCATACTAGTGCAAAAATTAATAGAACACATACAGTATGGAATCAAAGCCTTCTCCTTATTGTAGTCAGAATGCATGCAGTTAGCACATGCTAACTGCATGCATTCTGTGTGCTCTCACATCATCTGTGATGTCTTTCTGAATACGAATAATTTTTCTACTGAATTGGGTGTTCATTGTACCGGTTGCAACAAGCTCTTTTCTACAATTTCATGGCTGTCTGCTTTAAAATTACATTGTTACTTAAATTTTGCACACCAGTGTATATTAAGCAGTATTCTTTTAAACTGCATTAAATGATACAAAGCTCAATATGAACTAGTCGACATGGTTGCTTCGATGTGTAGCCAGAAACTGGTTTTTATGTCACGTGATTGTTTGCTTGTTTGCTGATCATCGCATGAATTGATGATTGACTATCCATGAGCATCACTAGTCATTAAACAAAAATATCCACCAAGTTGAATATGCTTTTTGTCAAATGGACAGTGTACATTTCATCAAAAGAACTGACCTTGAGTCAACCTTTTGATTGCAGGCAAATTTGCTTCGACATCAAAGGAGACCAGTTTGCTTTGACATAATTATTATTAAAACATTTGAAACACTGATTGTATGCTTCTAGTCTAAATTACATTTATAATTATTCATCTATAGTTTTGAAATTTCAGAAAAATTTGACAATACACGGCATTGTTACCATTTCAGTCCTAAGATATGAAATGTGTTCATTGATTATATTGGTGATGCATTAAAGTAAAATAATTTACAATAATTTTTAAAATAGTAAGTTGCATTATCGTCTTTGTGTGCTCAGTTTTTTTCTGTTGAGGACATTCATAAATAATGCTATATTAAACTTAGATTTCATTACAGTAATTCAGTTACTTTTGATGGTAATAACTGTGGATGAATTTAATACATGCCCTGATATTTTAAATAGAATTTATTAAGTTTTTGAAAAAATTATATATATAATTATTAATTGAAAAAACAAATTCTATTAATTGAAATTCTTATCTTTAAATGGCCCACCAATGGATGAATGGATGATTTTATCAAAAACTGGTAATTGATTACAGATTTGCATGGTGTTATCCAAGTTTTCTTTATATGTCTGTTATCTAATAAGGGAAATCTCTCCATAGTAAGTTCTCCCAGGAGACGTACACACCCTTGGCGGATTGTCCATGTGTCACTATGCTGTATCCTATCAAAACCAATGTGGTCTTTAAATATTTGTTAAAATATATAACACATTTGATTCTAGTCATAAAAGTAATAAATTAAAATTACATCTTCACTTAACAATATGTATGGATTGTATTATATTGCATAAGTTAGACAGAGAAAACAATTTTGAATTTATACTAGCTTGTACATAGAGTTAAAGCTTTAAAGCATTTAATTGAGAATCTGGCATTCACATAAGTGAGATGTTCTATCTGTAACTTAAACTGTAATTTACAGTGCTTTTATATTCATAACATGTTAATATTTTAAAGTATTGCTATTACTAAATCAAACAATCGCTGTAGTTAATTGGGCTATTATTAATAATAGCTTGATTAATTACGGTAATCGTTTGGTTTAGTATCACTGCATTGGGCTTCGGGAAGTTTATTACATTTGTATTGCTGTTTAGAGGCATGTAGTGTGTATTCATCATCAATGTATGCTGTTAAAATATGCATTATATACTGTATTCATATTATATATATCTGTTGCTATTGAAAATATTTGTAAAAAATTTTATAGAAAATGTTATGTTATCTGTAAAATGATTTTACTTTAATATAAATAGTTTTAAACATCGAAAAATAAATTTAAATAATTTATTTTTGGAATTTATAGTATTTGTAACTCTGAAGTTCACGTACGTGCCAAATTATCCGGATGAAGTACCGTTGATTGAAATAATCGAATATGATAATATAGAGGATGAAGATGTAGATTCATTATCAGATTATCTGCTGTCACAGGTATAAGATACATAATTTATTATTTAATAATATGCTCTTGAGATGAACTGTATTAAACATACGTAAAACTTCAGTTGAAATTTTCTAAAGACATATTTGAAAGTTTTAAATTATTTAACTTTGATGTAGCATGTAAAAATAAATTTTTGATTAAAGTTTGATCAAATCAAAAATAAATTCCATTTATTTTTAAAAAATTAACATAATCAGATGTTTTATGATAAAGCTGTGACAATACTTGTCCCCGTAAATTATGATAAAGTCTATCCTTAATTCGATTATTTAATTATAGTATTTTTCATTCTCAAATTTTGTGTGTATCAAAATTTATTTTGCTTTACTATTTTTTTTATAGAATTATTTATTATCTAATTTTTAAAAATTAAATTTTTTTTAAACTTTTCTGTCTTGTAACAGGCTGAAGAAAATTTAGGAATGGTTANACCATCATTGTAAATGCGATCTATCACTAAGGCACACATACCTGTATTTAATTAATTTTACAGCAAACTAAATATATTATTTTAAACTGTAATTTTATAATTACAGAAAAAATTTGAAGGGACTCGAGTGACGGTCGAAACGTTTTTAACATGGAAAACTAAATTTGATGCCGAAATGGCAGAAATCAATACTTGTCCTCGTAAATTATGATAAAGTCTATCCTTAATTTGATTATTTAATTATAGTATTTTTCATTCTCAAATTCTGTGTGTATCAAAATTTATTTCGCTTTACTATTTTTTTTTAATAGAATTATTTATCATCTAATGTTTAAAAATTAAATTTTTTTTTAAAACTTTTTTGTCTTGTAACAGGCTGAAGAAAATTTAGGAATGGTTATGATTTTTACATTAGTATCTGTAACTTTAGACTGGTTAAATAATAAAGCTGATTATCTCCATCAACAAAAAAAGGAACAGGAAGAAAGGAGATTGAAACAGTTAGAAGAGGAGGAGAGGGTAAGAAAAATTGATAATAAGATTAATTTTTAGATTTGTATAAAATATATACAGTCGACCCCCCATAACACGGGTTCCTATAGTTTGGATTCCTATATCACGGTGAAAAAAATTGCGACAGTATTCGTACAAACGTGCTAAAAAAACTCGTATAATTTGGTAAAACGCCATTGCCGACTTGTGTTGCAACAGGATTGGTCGAATCTAGACCAATAGTGGATATTGTACAAACCGTTGAGTTTAAACGAGCAGCGGGCCTACTAAAACCCATTTATTATTTAACATCCATAGAAATTATATTTATATTAATGATGTCTCCAAAGTTCAGCGAATTTTTCGCAAAAAAAATAATTTATCAGGAAGCATGCGGGCGCCATTCGGTGACAAACTCCACAATGAAAACAAGCTTAAGCAATGGCGTAGTTGAATGGTGCACGCTCAGTAAGTAATCCTACAATTTTTTGTTTATAGCATAGTTTATATGGATTATTCCCAAAAAATTATACATATTTTGGAAATGTTGAGTCGAATTAGTATAGAATCAATTAATTTTATGGAAGAAACCTTTCAAACAGCTGTAGTCCGTAAAATGCATATGTGCCGAGCTGTGATTGGCTGGATTCGTAGAAAATGGATTCATAAAAACTGGAATGTATCTATTGTGTTATAGGGGGTCGACTGTATATAGCTTTTGAAGCCAAAATTCTTAATAAATATGGCATGTTTAATTAATTATATTATGCCAAATTTGGCATATNGGTTCCTATAGTTTGGATTCCTATATCACGGTGAAAAAAATTGCGACAGTATTCGTACAAACGTGCTAAAAAAACTCGTATAATTTGGTAAAACGCCATTGCCGACTTGTGTTGCAACAGGATTGGTCGAATCTAGACCAATAGTGGATATTGTACAAACCGTTGAGTTTAAACGAGCAGCGGGCCTACTAAAACCCATTTATTATTTAACATCCATAGAAATTATATTTATATTAATGATGTCTCCAAAGTTCAGTGAATTTTTCGCAAAAAAAATAATTTATCAGGAAGCATGCGGGCGCCATTCGGTGACAAACTCCACAATGAAAACAAGCTTAAGCAATGGCGTAGTTGAATGGTGCACGCTCAGTAAGTAATCCTACAATTTTTTGTTTATAGCATAGTTTATATGGATTATTCCCAAAAAATTATACATATTTTGGAAATGTTGAGTCGAATTAGTATAGAATCAATTAATTTTATGGAAGAAACCTTTCAAACAGCTGTAGTCCGTAAAATGCATATGTGCCGAGCTGTGATTGGCTGGATTCGTAGAAAATGGATTCATAAAAACTGGAATGTATCTATTGTGTTATAGGGGGTCGACTGTATATAGCTTTGGAAGCCAAAATTCTTAATAAATATGGCATGTTTAATTAATTATATTATGCCAAATTTGGCATACACTCACACATTTAACAGAAGAGAATAATTACATTCATTCTGAATCATATATAATTAAATCTGTTCATAATAATTGTATTTTTATTGTTTACATAATTAAAATAAAATGTTATGAACAGATTTTGAGTTGAAGATAGCTTGAATGCCATTTTATAATCAATTGTAATTATTAATAATTAACTCTGTCATTTAATTAATATGTTAAATGTTATATGGCTCACCAGTGGCCAAGCAGTTTCATTCCCTGAACACTGGGAGTTTGGTCATGGGTTCATGCCTCACCAGGACGAGAGTTTGATGGGTTTTCCCCATGTCTGTAATGCCTGAACAGGGGCCAGTTACCCTTTAAAGACCTCTCAGAAGGCATTATTTCCCGTGTATCACCAATTATTCAGAGAAGGCAATGGAAAATCACTCTGGTATTCAATTCCCAGGAATCACTAAGGTGCAAAAAAAAGAGAGATCAACCTGCACTGTGATGATCGCCAATGTTAGAGAGGCTGGACATGGCACATAAAAGAAGAAGAAATTGTATAAGATGGTGATACTATCTACCAATAATGCTATACTACTATGGAATCCTAATTAGCTTAAAAATAATTAAACACATTATGAAATTAGACATTTTGGCTTTAACTAAATTTAGACTTTGGTAATTTCCAGTCTATTGAAAGTTTCTTGACCATTAACATAAGAAAAAATAATTTTATTAATTAATCATCATGTTCAATTTATGTTGAACAATAATATAGATGAACGCAAAAAGTATAGGTATGTCATTTTTCATTCTCTTGGCAACTGGAACACATTTTTATAATGGTTGCTTCAATCATTTTTAAGAGTCTATTTGGCTGCTTTTAAAAATATAAAAATGATAGTTATTTAGTGAAAATGTGAAAATATGTTACTATTAGTTAGAGGAACGAATGTGCATTTGATGACTTTTTCATCAAATGGACTTTTTTTTAACCTCAAATTTTGTTTAAAACTTACGAATAATAACAACACACCAAAATTATTTAAATTAAAAAATACTGTCTGTTAAAATTTTAATAGCAAATAGAAATATATAATAGAAAATTCCATGAAATTTAGTGTTTTCTACATCAGATAATTTAAATTATCTTGAACAAGAACACTTCTTAAAATAAAATAAAACAGTTTTAAGAAAGATAATTTGAATTGTGGAAAGTACTTCTAAGCTTTTTAAATTTTCTGTTTATTATTGAAATTTTAACGCTAAAAAAACAATATTTTTATTTTGTTTTAAACTTCTGTCTAATTCTATTTTTTTAATGGAATTTTTTCATTTTTTATAATTTAATAATAATAATCTGCCTGTTTGGAGAGAGAGAGAGAGTGCATTATGGTTGCCATCAAAATCAGGTCATAAACACTAAAAACTTACATCACTCACAAATGAATTTTGCAGAAATTGCCATATTCTCGCAGAAACAATATAACATATAATATCTGATAACTTGCAAACTTAGTACAAAAAGACTATTTACATAGGCATTATCAAATAGCAAATATAATATATCAAGAGCTTGCACACAAACACAGATTATTAAACACCTAGGTACCATACTACAAATATACTCCACAGTCAGTATTAGATAATGACACACAAAATATACTACAACAGAGCCATAATCACAGATAAAACAATTCATCTTTCATATTTCAAAACCGTGTTGTATGTTTATATTAATTTTTCAAAACCGCAATGCAGCGTAATAATCATCACTTGGCATAACTCATTCATTTATTTCAGTTTTGTTGAATGGCATCTCCATTGCAAACATTCATAACATGAAAAATGCTCATACTGAAAAATCAACAAGTGTACACTACTCACCCAACAAATAAGGCACTTGTGGAGGATGGATAGAATATTTATTATATCTGTTGTTCTCTCTTCCACTGGTATCATACCATATAAACTACACAAAAATCTAGAAATGTTAAACCTTAACAAAAAACATATACTACAGAAAGCCACAATATTGAACACATGTCAGATNAGCATAGTTTATATGGATTATTCCCAAAAAATTATATGTATTTTGGAAATATTGAGTCAAATTAGTCTAGAATCGATTAATTTTATGGAAGAAACCTTTCAAACTGCCGTAGTCCATAAACTGCATATGTGCTGGGCTGTGATTGGCTGGACTCGTAGAAAATGGATTCATAAAAACCGGAATGTAGCTACCGTGTTATAGGGGGTCGACTGTATATAGCTTTGGAAGCCAAAATTCTTAATAAATATGGCATGTTTAATTAATTATATTATGCCAAATTTGGCATACACTCACACATTTAACAGAAGAGAATAATTACATTCATTCTGAATCATATATAATTAAATCTGTTCATAATAATTGAATTTTTATTGTTAACATAATTAAAATAAATTGTTATGAACAGATTTTGGATCGAAGATAACTTGAATGCCATTTTATAATCAATTCTAATTATTAATAATTAACTCTGTCATTTAATTAATATGTTAAATGTTATATGGCTCACCAGTGGCCAAGCAGTTTCATTCCCTGAACACTGGGAGTTTGGTCATGTGTTCATGCCTCACCAGGATGAGACTTTGATGGGTTTTCCCCATGTCTGTAATGCCTGAACAGGGGCCAGTTACCCTTTAAAGACCTCCCGGAAGGCATTATTTCCCATGTATCACCAATTATTCAGAGAAGGCAATGGAAAATCACTCTGGTATTCAATTCCCAGGAATCACTAAGGTGCAAAAAAAAGAGATCAACCTGCACTGTGATGATCGCCAATGTTAGAGAGGCTGGACATGGCACATAAAAGAAGAAGAAATTGTATAAGATGGTGATACTATCTACTAATAATGCTATACTACTATGGAATCCTAATTAGCTTAAAAATAATTAAACACATTATGAAATTAGACATTTTGGCTTTAACTAAATTTAGACTTTGGTAATTTCCAGTCTATTGAAAGTTTCTTGACCATTAACATAAGAAAAAATAATTTTATTAATTAATCATCATGTTCAATTTATGTTGAACAATAATATAGATGAACACAAAAAGTATAGGTATGTCATTTTTCATTCTCATGGCAACTGGAACACATTTTTATAATGGTTGCTTCAGTCATTTTTAAGAGTCTATTTGGCTGCCTTTAAAAATATAAAAATGATAGTTATTTAGTGAAAATGTGAAAATATGTTACTATTAGTGAGAGGAACAAATGTGTATTTGACGACTTTTTCATCAAATGGACTTTTTTAACCTCAAATTTTGTTTAAAACTTACGAATAATAACAACACACCAAAATTATTTAAAGTAAAAAATACTGTCTGTTAAAATTTTAATAGTAAATAGAAATATATAACAGAAAATTCCATGAAATTTAGTGTTTTCTACATCAGATAATTTAAATTATCTTGAACAAGAACACTTCTTAAAATAAAATAAAACAGTTCTAAATAAGATAATTTGAATTGTGGAAAGTACTTCTAAGCTTTTTAAATTTTCTGTTTATTATTGAAATTTTAACACTAAAAAAA